TGTAATTCTTTAAAATATACTATCAAAACATTTTCTGAGAAGGACGGTGTGTTTTTGGTGTTTCCAATCCATAAATTGTCCTAATTTTTCATAAATTTTCTTGGACTTGTCCGGTAGTATATTTATTACCTGCATTTGTCGCCCTTTATGTAATTTCTAGAGGTGTTAGTGAAAATTCTTCGTTATCACTCAATATTTCCATAATAATGTCTCATCCCAAACTTTAGGTAGGTAACTTTTAATAACAATTTGAAGTATTCTTTTTATAAAATTGTTGTTTTTCGCTAAATTGCCATGGAAAAACTATAGACAGAGTGCTGTCAACATTCAAAAAAAAAAAATTCAAAATTTCTTAACTGCTGGCGCCATCTATTGACAATGTATGATAATGAAAAAAGTAAAAATTCTTCCTTATCACTCATTATTTCCGTAATAATTATTCTTTGTCCCAAACTTTAGATAACTTTTAAACAATTCGAAATCCTTTTTATAGTCATCAAAAAAATTGTTTTACGCAAAATTACCGTTTAAAATGTTTAATATCTTAACTGGTGGTGCCATCTATCTACATTGTATGATATTAAAAATCAGTATTATAATGAAAATCTGTATCATAATGAAGTTCATTATGATACAGATTTTAATCGTTTAATAGCGTATTATGAAATGTCAGTAGAAAAACGTATATTATTATTAATAATCGTTTTGGTTGCTCGAAAATGTTGGGTCTTCTGCGATACAGTGTCTGCAGTTAAGGTCTCCTTCATACAGGTTCATCCTGTTCATGTGGACCATATTACTGGTAGGGGAGAACCACCTACAGTGACCAGGCCTCAACAGTGGCCATTCGCTAATAACTACTTTATCAACTATAAAGTAGTGCTGCCATCTTTACAGTATAAGGCTTATTGCCCGTACTAAAGATTGTTCGGGTTAGAAATGAAAGCAGTTCCATTTTGTGTACAGTAGAGTGTGTATGTCCTTTTCTTATACCCAAACCTGCATATGCAGGTGGTTTTATTTCAAATTTTCTCCAGAATGCTTTATAACATTCTTTATGTAATATTTTCATAATTATCTACTGCATGTAAAGAAAGTTTTTCGCCTATAATATATTCTAAAATATTATGGTTTGCAATTTTTTTGAAAGAAAATTTCAGAAACGGGGTTTCTTCAACACTGGCCATGTTAATATTTCCCAACAGTGGCCACTACTTATGTTATAATATTAGTAGTGGCCACTGTTAAAATCGAGTTTCTTTCTCAGCGTTATGGAGAAACTAAAAAAAAATAGAAGCAATACTGGAAAAACACCTGCCGAAACTATAAAAAATGCTCTCTACCGCATATTTGAAGGTGGTTGAAGTGTAAAACGGGCGGCTTTTGAATTTGAAATTCCTTGAGCCACATTGAAACGCTACGTCACAAAATGTAAATATATGGGAGTTGACAATTATAAGCCAGAATCGGCGGAGAAGGGGCAACAAGATAAATAAAACATATTTTTTTATTGATAACCTATTTTACTTATTTAAAGTACTCCTCAGCGTGTTTAAATCCAATATTCAAAAACAACGTGTTTTAAAGTTATCATGACAACATCAACAACCCATGAAGAAAGGTAAAGTCTAAATGTCAACTTTTTAATTATTGATTTGTCAGGAGTAGGTACTTGTAGATAACGTCAAATAAAATATAACAAGTGTTAAGCACGAATTTAGAATTCTACAATTAGTAGTAATATATGATTTGAACGTATACCAATAAAAAAAAAATAGTGTAAAGTATTCGTGGAGAGGTCTTTAAAACACTTGCTCTATTTCGAGCGCAAAATCGCGCGCGTTTTAAAGACCTTAATATCCACTTATACTTTAATATACTATTTTCAAAACGGTCAAGGTTCACATAGGATATCTTTTAGACAAATAATTAAAGTATCTAAAATAAATGTCTGAACAATAAATTGACCAAAATGGACAAGTTACAGCAATGAAAGTAAAAATGTGGCCACTGTAGGTGGTTCTCTCCTACCTATGTGGCCTGTCATAAGGCCCGTTATAGTCCTTAAGTCTGCTCCTACTCATTTGTAGCAGTTTTGCGGCCCTTTTTCTGCATAGTTGGTCGATGAACTTCCTACCATGATTCTGTCTGGAAGTTGTCCAGTATAGTGTCGATGTTCTTTACCCAGTCTTTGATGTAGCTTCTGGTCATACTTTTTGGTATCGCTAAAGCCGGCTATGGCCTGATACTGATAAGATTGGTCTCTGATCCTTTTGACACTGTCTGGCTCGAAAGGGCTTGCAGTGCCGCTTGACTGTCGGACATTATAAGGATCTGCCTGTTGGCTACGGCTCTCCTGTTATTATCTGCTGCGCACTGGAGTAGGTATAGCATAGACCTCTGCCTAGAAAACAGAGGCATGCCCCCCAGTGCTGTAGCTGGCGGAGTATACCCCTGCCCCAGTACCAGCCGCAGTCTTCGACCCGTGACCGTTTACCAGGTCCGGTCCTGCTTTATGCCTGTTCCCATTTATTCAGTTCTGCTTGGGAAGCGGACGTCGAACGGTCTGTTTAGGCAGTGTCGCCTGCTTGGCATGTGGTCCGTCTTCATATTGAGGATATTTTCCCCCATAAGCTCTGAAATTGCCATGTATTCTGTCTTTTTGTTGTAGGCGGTTGTCAGTAGCAGTCTGTACACTCCCATCCTTATTGCCTCCCCCTGTATCATAATGTGCAGAGGTGAGGGTGGTAGGTCTAGGAGGGTCTCCATGGCTGCTGTTGGTGTGGACCGCATTACTCCCGTTATTTCTGAGCAGGCCAGTATTTGCACTTCGCTTAGTTGGTGGATAGCACTTCCTGGTTGTGTCTTTGGCCATCACACCAGAACAGGAAGGCGTATCATGATGGGTTTGACAATCATGCTGTATGTCTTGTACAGGGGTCACCGTCAATTCGTCGTAAATCAATATGTCGTACGTCAGTTCGTCGTACGCCAATGCGGCGTAAAGTCAATTCGTCGTATATCTCAATTCGTCGTTAATTCAATTTGTCGTACACGTCCATTCGTCGTATACATCAATTCGTCGTATACATCAATTCGTCGTAAAATCAATTCGTCGACCGTCGTAAAATCAGTTTGTCGTATACGTCAATTCGTCGTAACATTATTTCGTCGTATACTTCAATTTGTCGTATAGGTAATTCGTCGTATACGTCAATTCGTCATATTTCAGGTATTATGTTAAAATATTGAAATGTATAAATTTACACTATCTAGTTATTTTAGACATTACCAAATTTACCGATAATAACCTGGTTAGTTTGCAATTTTAATCAGACTTTACATTGCAAACTAACCGGGTTATTATCGGTGAGTTTGATAATATCTGATTAAAATTGCAAACTATTAACACGTTAATTTGTCGTATTGTTAATTCTTCGTATTTCATGTACAATGTTAAAATTATTTTGCACTTTTACTGTTTTATTACCTATACGTTACTTTACGACAATTTGACGTATACGACAAATTGACTTTACGATGAATTGACGTATACGTTGAATCAACGCTACGAGGAATTGACGTATACGATAATATGGTAATGCGTCGTTATTATCGGTAAGCTTGATAATGTCTGATTAAATGGAAAAAGTTCAAATTTATACATTTTACCATTATACCTGAAATACGACGAATAAACGCTTCGACGAATTGACGTAAGATAAATTGACTAACGACGAATTGACATAGACCCCTAGTTCAGCATGTCCGGTCTCAAGTCCCATAGCTTTCCATGCAGGCGTCTAGCTATCATGAGCGCTGCTACCGCTTTTTTGGTGATGTTTTTCAGATGCCTATTCCAAATAAGTTTTGAGTCCAGTGTTCCCCTAGGTACCTACTTAGCCTCGCTCGAAATTTGTATGTTTTTTCCCTTTATTCTAAGTGGTAGGTGGTTTCAGGTAAATGCCACGTTTATGGATGTGTTGAGTCGGATATTTAACCCTTTTCTATCCAGTATCCACCCATTTTTGTCTAGTCTCGAGCGTCTTGCATTCGCTCTATAACTGTAGAGTCAAATTTGCCCCGTGAGATGATAATTACTTACATATCGGGTCTTCAAAAAAAAAACAATCAAAGATTGCTTTGGTTACGAAAACGTACGTCGCATTATTGTTTCTTTATTGGTCAGGATTTCTGATATAACATTTTGACATTAAAGTTCATTGACAAAATTAAGGAAAAATATTGTTAAGACATACGTTTAAAAACCCATAGCAATCTTTGATTGGTTTTTTTTTGAAGACCCGATATATTACGGCGCTATATCTATATAGTCGAAATCGTACTCCGGATCTATCTAAATTCTAGAAAAACATGTTTATCGAATATGATAGAATTCCCAGAAAAGATGACGTTGCGTAAACAACGAATTTCTTAGAGCCCTGGTCGGGTTGTCTGCAAAGCCTCTCACTCTCCTAGATTATTCGCAAGTTAGGTAAGGTAAGTATATTTGAAATATGTATGCTTCAATTGGATTTATTTACGATAATAACAGACTACTACATTGAGAAAGGAACTTTTAAACATATTTATAAATTTATACGAAATTAACAACATTAACACGAAACAAGACAATAAATAGATATAGGTACCTTATTGGTAGGTATATTGGTTACTTTGTATTTGAATGTTCTTTCATAATAATATCACTTAGAGCATGAATATTATCTGGATGGATTTTTGTGAGAGTTTTTATGTCTTCCAACATAGCATTTATATCAATAATATTTTTGTAATGCGTCAGCTTAAATGCACTTATCATAACTGCCGCTAGCAAATATGATTTAGTGCACAATAAATGTCTGAGTGTTCTCATTTCCTTCTGATAAATACTCTTCAATTGTTTCAACCACTTTGTCTTCGTCCCATACAGATGCATCAAAAGCAGCACACACAAATGTCTGCATGCGTCTTGCAAGTTATACTTCTTTATGATTTTTTCAAAGAACACATTGAAGTCGTCCAATATGGTGGTACCTAACTGGAATTTTGAATTGCAAAACTTGCAGAACATCTCGTTCCGCTTGTTTAATAGCTCTAGGATTATAATTTACGTGCGTTATTTTTCTTAAAAACGTCCTGACTGCTTCAATATCCAGAGTTAGTCCTCCTCCAAAGAATTTACTCACAGTGAAAATTGTTGTTATAACTGATAGTAGGGGGTCTTCTACTGGTTCTCCACGCTGCTATTTCAAAATCAGATATTGTTCTGCTACGTCCACAGATGAAAAAAATACTTGGTCGGTTTGCCTGAATATTTCGCAAGCCTGTTTGATAGTGTTGATTATAATTAGATCCAAACCGGACTCCATGAAATAAGGCAAAGTTTTCTGCAATTCCTCAAACCATTCTCCTACTAGATGATTTTCGAAATCTTTATCCATGACCGACATAAGTTAATTGATTATCTACAAATTTGGTAAATTATTTGAGGAATAAACTACGCATTATTCAATAGTGAAGCAAACACAATCAGATTCGCCGGAGTTTTTATCACAATAAATATTCGCTTACCGTTGCAAATTAAAATAATTGTATAGGTACTCGAACAAAGTTCCACAAAAACTTGAAAACTGAAAAAAGCAAAAATCAAAAAAAGTCGTGTATAATTGCTGACATAAGTATTATAATGGGGAATTCGCACATTTTTTTAAATTATCGTATTCAATAAATTTTTAATTTTCAACTTATAGTTTTTCTGTAAAAAAATATAGAAATTCAAAATAAACTCTCTTCGCGTCAAAACGCCCTCGTAAATCAATGACGTCACAAGACGATATCCGTCAAAACAAGTCTCTGTAGTTTCTGTCTTGGCTGTGTGAAATGGCAAATGTTTCAGCAATCCTTCCAGCATGGGTTTTTTTGTTCCAGAACTCTAGCCAAAGCCACTCTGAGTTATGAACATTAAGATCTTCCAAGAGTATAATCTCGGAGTTTGGATGGCTCCCTATTCTTGAAACAAGGAAGCAGTCTTCCCAGAAGAACGAGTGTTCTGTCTTTCTCAACGATATGCAAATGATAATATAAGTAACAAAGACGCGGAACACTCGTTCACTCGGGAATACTGCTCCCTTTGTTTCAAGAATAAGGACCCTGGATAGAATCAAATGAATTTGCAAGATTTAGAAATGGTTCATAACCATAACTGGAATTGTTGGAGAAAAGATGCTTCACCATGTTCGTAGAAGTAATTTGTAGCCAAATTACATCAGGATCAGGTGATTGCAGATCATCCTCTCTGTGGCAAAAGAGCTCACTGCGAGAAAAGACGCAAAGTCCCCTCTTACTCTTATAGTGAAATCGCTTATGGAGATGCATAGTTGCTCAGGACTATAGTAACTACATAATGTATTGTTCGTCGATTTTTATCTGATACTTTCCGTATGAGGAGCGAAGGGGTGAAGTATATGGAAAAAACAGGTGTGTCGTCAGGTGACCATTGGCATTTTAATGTAGGGTGCCACCAGCTCACATCTCACATTCCTTTTGAGTATCAGATTAAAATCGACGGACTTCAACTCATATTACACACCTGTGGAATATGAATCTCATATTCCACACTCGTGAAATACAAATTTTTATACGTATTCCATAACATGGAAAAAATAAAATGGATGCGGCCAATAAAATTTTGCACCAAATTTTAGCAGTATTTCGAATGCCGATTCATGTCCACCTACATCATTCTGCTAATGGAGTCAGCAATTTTGCTGTTAATAATTTTTCGATTACCAATGAGAGCACATCGGTGCGGTTAATGTCGACTAACATTGAAACTACAAGTAAACCTGAACCTAATCATGAATTTTAGTAATTGTCAACGTAAAATTAATATTATGACTATTTCACTAGAGTGTATTACACCAGCAATAAATTCGGTATTCACCTGACAATAATGTTACCTGGACAATACCAACAACATGGTATTTCAGTGACCATCTTTTGACATTGTCAAACTGGTATTTTTAATTTGAAGTTTTTATTAATAATTTTGCATTCTATTTATTTTCAAAATCTTACGTGAAATAGTCATGACGAATACCACTCGAGAAAAAATTGTGTAGGCAAAATTGTTCTCAAGGTTTTATTCAAGTTTGTTGCTTTTCGGCAATTGCCAAGCAACAAACTTTCATACCTTTCGAAAATTTTGCCGACAAAATTTTTTCTCTTGTGATATTATATATAGTCGTAATCATGATAGAAAGTGAAGTTGACAGTTCGCGTTGACCAGAGATAAATACTATATGAACTGTCGAGAATGGAATCTCAGTGTAAATTTTGTTGTCAACAAAATTGAGCCAAGCCAGAGCCATCTACCACATCGGAAAATCACTATTTACTGGTTTTGCATCGATGCTACAGACACCTACTTTACATAGGACTTTTTATGATAGATGGCGCCCCGTTCGCATTACTGTCGGTCTGTTCAAATTCGTTTATTCTAGACGTTGGGGCATTAATGTTTGCTTAAATTAATTGATAATTTGTTAATTAGATCAAAAGACAGTTTCTTTATCGATGGTTAAGGGATCCTTAACATATTTATTCAAAGTTCTGATTGATGTTTAATTGAACCTGTCATTTATCTAATCAACAAAGATAAAATTAGATCTTCCAATCTATAAAGTTTGAAATTCTTCTTGAAACACACAAAACAACTTTGAAATCACTTAAGAACACTTGACAACACAAAGAAAGATGAAATGCAAGACCGGCGAACAAAAAACATTATGAATTATTTATGATCGAATGAATATTTTGGCATATTGTCATATGTTGACATGTCAGTTATCGACATCGGACGTGTTCTTGATGTGCTGGTATTTTCCAATTTTAACAATTCTGTGGGTGTTAGCGACATCTAGAAAAACGGAAAAGAGTTATTATGTAGTTTATAACTGGCAATGAGAGATCGCAGGGCCTGGCGTTGACATTCCTAGTAAACTTTTTCTTTAGGTTGCCAGGTCGGGGATTCTAAAATCACGATTCGACATACGATTCGACAACGAGACGATTTTTCCGACGATTCTAGGTTAGAAATCTCATTGGAATTATACCTTTCGACACGACAAGGCCGGTATCGTTGTCGAGTCGTGTGTCGAATCGTGATTTTAGAATCTCGGCCCTGCATGCGTTAGTGCTTCGATTGCGTCAGCTGGGATAAACGACAGGGTCGTATTTAGAAAAGTGATATACATTTCAGAATAAAAATTTATTTTCAAATTCTTTAAAGGAAGTTAAGTTATTAAAATCCAAAAATCCAAAAATTAGAGTCCAAAGTAAACACTTATAAAAAGAGTAAACACTTAAATCCAAACTAAAACCAGGTTTGAAACGCAACACCGAAACACAAAGGCAAAGAACACTAAATAAAAAACCAAAAAACCGATTGCGATAATAACAAATAAAAAAATAATGCAGAAAACGGCAAAAAACTGAACGATTTTACACAAAAATTCGAAATTTAAAATTCAAAGATCCGAATCTGATATTTTTATATGTCAAATCAAAATGTCATGTATCATTATTTGATAGTTGTCAGAAAAAGGGACAGATCTGGGGATTTTATTTATTTTCAACTGGTGAAAATAACGGTCAAAATTCAAACTCTATCGTGAATACGACTATATGACTATTTCACTAGAGTGTTTTACACTGGCAAAATGTCATAGGAACGGCCGGTTTCCTACTGACAAAACTTCTACCTGTTCATACCTGGGCAAAACCAACATGATGGTTTTTCAGCGACAAAACTTTTATTATTTTATTATTTTTATTATTTATTATTTAAATTTTATTATTATTTGGCCCAGTTTCACAAAGTGTAGTAAACTACTAGTTATGAGATAACTACTAGTTAAAACGAAAACAGCGTTTCACAATTGACGGTTCAACGTGACACCTTTATTTAACCAGTAGTTGAATTAACCCAAGGGTGCGTATGAGTTAACTATGAGTTAGTTGAAAAGGTAAAATTATTGAATGAAAACGTTTGCTACTTTTTCTGTTAGTGATACAATTGGAATTTAAATCTGCTCCCACCGTTCTCCAAGCATTTTCTTTTTTGGTGGTAAAACGCTTTAGTGCAACACGTAGTTTCTTATAAGATGCATTCCTAATGTTGTAGTTAGCCTTTTTGGACCGATTTCAATATAAAAATATGCGGATTATATTAGTTTTCAAGAAAAATATATAAATTAAAGTGGTTCAATTTAAAGGTGTGTTAGTTTGGGTTAGTTTGCATAGAACTAGTATGCATTACGTGGACGGGTTAGCTTGGGTTAGTTTGCATATTTTTGGTTAGTTTTGGTTACAGTTCGTATCTACTGGTTATAAGTGTACTGATTGAGAACACAGCGCGCGAAGCGGGCTTTGTTTTTTAACCCTTAACTGGCGTTGTGACGTCCCTGGGACCCAAGCCAATATATTTTGGCATGTACCCCCACCATCATTGAAAATTTCGAGCTATGTGTCTCAGTACCTTCTAGTTAGCATGTCCTCGACCATGGCTGCTTAGTTTTGGTGAGTTGTGATTTCCCATTTTTACGTGACAGTCTGATCGTGGTCCCTAGGACCACTCGACAGTAAGTACGTAACAAATTGCTTTCTCATCTTTTTTTTTTAAGCTTGTATTTTTCTTCTAAAGCTGAAAATGGATACGTCTCCTGTCCCAAAACGTGTCAGGTATGATGATCCTGATGACCTATATGTTTAGAATGTAGCAAAAAATTGTGTGTATAATGTTCCACAGGTGAAGAACAATAAGAGGTCATAGAGGCTTGCACGTTTTCTTTACAGATGTTTAATTTCAAGTTTATGTATTTTTTTATGTTTATTAATGTTTCAAGAGTTAATACTTTTTTTTATTTCAACTTATTTTTTCCTTGAGAATGATTTACGCGCTTTAGTTCCATGCATTGTTATTTTTTGTGTATATTTACTAGCAAATAAAGTTAATTTTTTTACTACTAACCTGAGAAATAGACATTATTCAATCTATTTTTCTAAGAAAAAATTGAATTTCTCTCCCTAGGTTGATAATGAAAATAATGAAAAAATACCTAGGTCAATAATGAAAATGACGTCATGACGCAAGGATATTGTCATGTTTCTATTGGTTCAATTTCAATTTCATACGTCAATTTGAAAAAAAATACAGGTTTCTGTAGGTACATAGGAAGTTATATAAGCTGTTGATAGAGGGCAGCACTATCAAGAGGGCGTTCACAAAAAATAATAAGAACACAGATTTTAAACAAATTTTTTATTTTCTACTAGCAGTAGTAAAAAAAATTCTATATATTCCTCGGTAGAGAAAGTCATTATATACCTCAAGCATTATAAACCTCGGCGCTGCGCGCCTCGGTTTATAAAAGCTTTCGGTATATAATGA